ATCTCTTGACTCCAAGCATTTTGACTTGTTATCTCCCATGCCTATAATTCTCTCCCTCCCCATCTGGGCCTCTGGACTTCCTTCAAGTCCCATGTAAACCTATTTTTCCACAAGAAACCTTTCCTGATACCATCCCACCCACCCCCATGCTTGCTAGTGCCTGCCTTCTGTTGACTATAGCCAAGTCTCAACAAAAGCAAATAATGAATCCTCTGAAGTAGCTACATGAATTCAAATTCATACTTTTTGAAGTTAGAATGATATAAAATATATTAACTGTTTCCAGACCAATGGAAACATGCAATGTGAATTCCAATAATGGGATCACTTCAGAGAGAATTATTTGCACTAATCAAGACTTCCGATTTATCCTGTGTACATCTTGCTTGTACATATTTGTTTTCCTAGTTTTGCTACTTCCTACTTGTATGACCTTGGACGAATCATTTAACCTCTCTAGGCCCCATTTCCTCATCTAAAAAATGAGGGCTTTGAACTAGATGGCCTCTAAGGTCCCTTCCTGCTCTAAATTCCTGATTCTATAATCCTTAAAGCACTACATAAATACGAGCTATTACTATTGGAATTTACAGCCTCCATAACACATAATTCACAGTCACCCCTTAACACAGTTAGATACAAAATGCATTCCACAATTTCACAGCTGTGTGAATTACTTTGTCTGAAAATGGGACTATTTCTCCAGCAAGTTTAAAATTTATTTTTCTAAGGCACAAGTAACAGAAGCATACTTCATTCAAAGTGATCCTGCCACATCTTTTGTACTGCATGACACAGTGGGATGTTTCGTGTTTTCCAGTGAACCTCAGACTTGCATACCTTGAAAGTGTGCAGTCGACAGGATGACAGGCATGCCACCAAATAGGTGACATTTCAGAAGGTGCTACTGTTGCTCTGAAGGCCAAAACAAGTATTTCTATTATCACAGTTTCCAAAAGAGTGTAAACCTGAAAACGGAGAGCAATGGTGTGAAGTCGAAGGACTGACACCAGGCAGGAGGAAGCTATGACACCCTGTTACTGCGATGGCCTTGTCTCCCAGCTGTCTTTCCTCAGACATAAACATGCTGAGACAAACGAGCCTTCCAACCACAGGCTGGATTCCACCTGCTGGGTAAGGCATAGAAAAAATGTAAATTCCACCATCAGCAGCTTCTAAATACCAGGCAATATTTTCTTTTCTAAAATTTATTCTGCAAAGGAATGCTTCAATGTTCTGGCAAAAAAAAAAAAAGTAATTCAAGAAAGTATCTTTAATTCTGTCCCCCAAATGTTTAACTCCATTAATCATAATATGCTGCCTCAGTTATTCATGTTGTTTAATACTTAGCAGCAGGTGTCTCGTTCTTCTCAACTAAATATTTAATTCTCAAAAGTAGCTTATATTATCCAAAGAGAATTTCACTGACAGCTCTACTTTAGAATGAAACTGGCTATATGGACAAAAGTCTACATAAACACTTAAAACAAAAACAGTCTTCCCTAAATGTTACACATAAACAGACTTTCACCTAATCTATGTTCTAGCCAGCTCTCAGTAGCATCCTTTGTGCCAGACTGCCACTGTGAGATCAAGGGAGAAAAGACATAGTGCTGAGGGCTCTACTTCAAATGAAACTGGACAGGTATCCACTGTGAATATCCTTGCATGTGTTCAATGGAACTGAACAGGCACATCCACTGTTACACTTGAGCATTTTCTAAGACACTAAGAAAAAAAACAAAAATTATTCCCTCTCCTGCTAGTCCTTGCCAACTAAAAAAGTGCACATTAAACTCCACCACTGCCCAAGACAATATCCCACATCGTATATAGTAGAAGAGTAAACTACTTCCTACGTTAACTTTGAATACCTTGATAATACCAGTAAGATAAAGTCTCTCCTGACTCCAGTCTTCCACTCTTCTAATACTCCCTGTGTACCAACACCAAATAGATCTTTTAAAAATTTTGTTTTTATAATGTCACCTTCCCAGTTCAAAAATCTTCAAAGGCTGATAACTACCTATGGAATGAAGTATAAACTCCTTAATGTGGCAATTAAGGCCTGCCACATGATTCCAATTTTACCTAAAACTACTTTTCTGAATCAACCCATAGCTCAAGCCAGACATACTCACTGTTTCCTAAATACTTTTGTCTACTCTCTCCACCTTTCTTCCCATTCAGAAAATGTCATCCCCCTCTTCTATACCTACATGAATTTGAATAGTCATGGCCTGTTTCCTCTTTGAAATCTTCCACACCAACCAGAAGAGATTTCTTCTTTCTCAAAGCAGCCACAGCATTTATTTGGCAGTTACTACATAATGGTTTGAATATGTTTCTTAACCTGTCTGCTGCACTTGACACAATTAATGATCTTCCCATGCTGAATGCTCTCGCCTTTCTGTGTTTTCATGACACTACTCTCTTCTAGTTCCCTTCTGATCTCTCTGATTGGCTCCTTCTCAGACTTCTATGCTGACTTATTATCCAGAGGATGACCCTATCTGTGGGTTTTCCTCAAGGCTCTGTCTCCTACTCTTCCAACATATCTCTTGGTAACCTCACTAGCTCCCATGGGTTTGACTATCATCTAAATGCAGATGACTCCCACATGAATACTTCAAGTCCAAGTCTCTCTCCTGAGCTTCTGGCCCACATTGCCTGTGTATGATTTCAAAGAGAGTATCTCAGAGACATCTTAAACTCAACATGCCCAAAACTGAACTCATTAGCTTTCTCTCTAAGCTCTCCCCTCTTCTAAACATTCCTACTTTTGTTGTAGGCACCACCATCTATCCAGTCTCCCAAGTCTATAATCTCTGTATAATCCTGGACTCCTCACTCTTCCTCAACCCACCTACATTCAATGGGCTACTAAATCTTGCCATTTCTAGTTACCCATCTCACACCTGGCCCCCTTCTCTGAACTCACATAGCTTCCACTTTAGTCCAAGCCCTCATCACTTCTCATTGAGATTATTTCAATGGCCTCCTAATGGGCCTCCCTACATTAAGACTCTCCTCATTCTGTTCCATCCCTCACACCGGTGACAAAATAATTTTTCTTAAACGCAGATCTGACAATTAATGATTCTCTTGCTCAGCCAATTCTAGTATCTTCCTATTGTCTCTAGGATAAAAAAATTCTGTTTAGTTCTAAAATGCCTATAAAACTTGACCCAGCGTTTCTTTGGAGAGGCCTCATTGGACATTGTTCTCTCTCCTACGCTCTGTGATCTAAAGAATCAGGCTTTCGCTTTCCCTCACACATGCGGCTACATCTCCACCATCTCTGCCTTGGCCGAGACCATCCCCCACACTTGGAACGCACTCCCTCTCTGCCTCACGGAGTTTTTCTCTTCCCTGAAGATACAGCTCCAGCACCGCACACCACACGGAATCTTTCTTGACTTCTCCCGCCCGATAGTTCCTTCCCTCCTAAGCTACTTTGTATCTGACTACATTGCATAGACAGGGCGTTCCAAAAGTCTTCGTGCCATTTTAAGCTTTAATAGCTTAAACTAAGACTTTTGGGACACCTCGTATTTTTATTTATTTATTTTAGGTTTATGTTGGATATATTTATTTATATACTTTTTACCTCTCCATTAGAATAGAAGCTACCTGCACACAGGGACTGTTTCCTTCTTTGTACCTGTATTCTCAGTGCCTGGGACCTAGTGGGAGCTCAAAATATACTTGCTAATTGATTATTTGAGGGCACTGACCATATCAACTTCTTTTTTCTATACCGTACAGGCAGTCCAATGTTCAATAAATGTTTCTTTACAGAAAGACTGAATGTCTACTACTGCTCAGAGGAACTGATGAACTTGAAGAAAAGTGCTAAGTCTGATAACCACTAAGAAGCTAACACATCACCTCTCTTTGTCCCAAAACACTTTACGAACTTGGTGAGTGGAATTATACTGGACATGGAAGGCTGAGCTAGTAAGCAAACAACACATACAGATGAAATCTGGGTTAAAGGAATTGTGCCTAAGTTGCGGGATGAATAAGAAAAAGAAGAGAAGAAAGGAAGGAAAAAAGTACAAGAATTTTTTTAAAAAAAGCAAATCATTTTATAATATCAAAGAATTTATCCTACTTAAAACAAACCATAGCATTTGATTCCATGTTTAGCATACTTATTTTACACATCTAACCTACTGTCTATTTTTCATTAATCAAGTAACTCATGATAATACTACTATGAGCAAGTTATTCCCAGTAAATTCAAAAACTGCAAGATTTTCTAAACCATTACTAACTCCTGGTAAGGCCTGTGAGAAAACAGACTATCACATAATTAAAAAGATAAGTTAATATATATAATTCTGCTGTGGAAAATTTCAGCTCTTCACCTAGGTTTCATGTTCATACCTTGTCCTGTGTAATTTGAAATATAAATTTATAAGGAATGAACTATAAGGAGAACTAGGAAAATGAAAAGTATAATTCAAAAGACTTTATAATAAAATTGGCTATGAACATAATATTTCATCAATACCCATTTGTAAGACCAGTATGCATTAATGGAGATTCTGTTCTTAAATACATAGTTCATAATGCAAAAAGGGAGCAATTATGCACTAATTCATTAATTAAAATCCTCCTTATATAACTTATACTTCTACAATCCTATCAAAGGAACTTACACACAAGTTCATATTGTCCATAAAACAATGAGATGAGCAAGCATAGTAATTACAAATTATCTGGAAATGTGAGTGACTTCTGTGAATTAAAGGGCATGACAGGGAAATAATTGGATATCATAAACCATATGAAAATCTGTGAACCAGTAGTCTACGTATATGCAGTAGGAAAACTTGGTCATGAGATCTTTGGTAATTGGTAGATGTCCATGGCAGCACCAGATCACCTGACAATTAAATTCTCTTCTAAACCTGTTCTTGTCATTAAATCTGGGAGGTGATACTTCTCTAAGATTCTATTCTATCCCAATGTCTTTGAGAAAAGAACCTCACCTGCAGGACATCTTGTATCTTGACCCAAACATCTGCCATATCATACAACTTGATGTCTTCATGCTGGGTTGATGGAGGCACAACAGTCTGCTGGAGATATCCCAAGACCACAGAGTGAGCAGCAGCCACAGCATTAAATTTGTCAAAGAGAAGCTCTAGAAGCTCTAGCAGCAATCTACAATGCAATAAGAGAAACAGATTTCATTTTGCTTCAAGGAAAACAAAATCAAACATATTGACTATGGAGAAGAAAGGGGTCATAATACCTCTAAAGGGGTCATAATACCTCTGAAGTTGGAAGAGATCTTATAGGTCCTATGGTCCAACCCAGGGGTGGGGAACTTCCGGCCTTAAGGCCACATGCGGCCTTCTACATCCTTAGATTGGATTCAGTCAAAAGGCTGCACTTAAGGACCTAGAAGGCCGCATGTGGCCTTAAGGCCACAGGTTCCCCACCCCTAGTCCAACCCCTTCATTTTACATAAAAGAAAACTGAGTCTTAGAGAAGTGAAGTAACTTGCCAAAGTTACTTATCAATCAAGGCAGTCAGTGGTAGAGCTTGGATTAAAACCCCCACCCATGGACTATGCTCCCTGTCAAGCTCCTACAGACATAAATATTAGATGTTAAAACTAGAGACAATGTGAAATGCAATGGATCAGGGTTTATATATAGTTGAAGCCATTCCCTATTTACAAACTAGGCACTTTCTAATGAGTATTGACTTTTTCCAATACCGATGGGGTTTTATCACCTTCTATTCAAGCAGTAGAGTGCAACAGCAACAACAAAAAAAGCATACCCATAACCACCTTTCAAAAAGTTTAACGTCGACTCACGGGAATGTCTTGGTCACACATATTTCATTCATTAATTCACTAGGGCAAAAACAATTATTTGTGTATCAAATTTACAAAAAGAACTCAAGACACAAAGAGAAAGGGTTTACTTGAGGTCACGAAGTTAAATGGATGGAAAATGAACACCCATTAAATTGACAAAGGTGACAAAAGATAAAAATGATAGAATATTGGAGGGTGTAGAAGAGAAATCCCCCTCCCCCCAAGGTGCATCCAGGTACCTATGAATCAACTCAACTGTTCTGGAAAACAACTTGCAACAATATTAGAAAAATCACAAAACCCCACAGAGCCTTTGACCTACACCATGGCTGTGTCATGACAGAAAGGTCCCATATGTGCCAAAATATTCATTAATAACACTTTTGGTGGTAGAAAAAGAAAAAAGGTTGCCCATCAATCATGAAATGGCTGAACAGACTGTGCTACAAATGTAATGGAATAATGTTATATTGTAAGAAATTAAGAATATGGAGAATTTGTAGAAAACTGAAAATATTTATATGAACTGATGTATAAAGAAGTAAAACAGAATCAAGACACCAATTTACACAAAGACCATAATAATGTAAAGAAAAACAATATTGAAAGACATCAAAACAGTGACCATTGTAATGACAAAAGGAGTTTAGAGTTTAGAGTTACACGGAACCTTAAAGTAACGATCTCTTCCTCCAAACTCCTTATTTTACAGGCAAGAAAACTGAAGTTCAGAAAGAAGTGACTTGTCCATGACCATTGAAGCGGTATGTGGTAAAGGTGGGATTTTAACCCAGATCCTGTGACTCTAAATCCAGTGCTATTTCCTCTCCATCAGATGATAGCCTACAGGAGCAGAGTGACTCCTACGGCCAGTGGGTTGATTTGTTTTGCTTAAATCATAAAGGAGGGAGTGAATGAGAAGTAAAAAACTGATGCTAAATAACAAATTTTTTTAAAGTTTTATCTTCTTTTCTAAAAAAAGACTAAAAACAAAACATCTCTACTTAAGAGTTCTAGCCACTTCTGTTTATCTCAAAATTCAATTCCAAAGGGGCAGCTGGGTGGCACAGTGGACAGAGCACTGGCCCTGGAGTCAGGAGGACCTGAGTTCAAATCCAGCCTCAGACACTTGACACTTATTAGCTGTGTGACCCTGAGCAAGTCACTTAACCCAAGTGACTAGCCAAAAAAAAAAAAAAAAAAATCAATTCCAAGCTACTTTGAACAGCAGCCTCCACTATGGGTGGGATATATTTAAAAGTGGCCATCAGCCTCCAGTTCACTGAACAACAACTGATCCATCTCAGGGAATGTATTGTTCTGCCGAAAGCATTAAGCCCAGTATTAAACGTGTAGCAGGCACTTAAAAGTAGGCACACAGTTGGTGCTTAATAATTGCTTGCTGACTAATTGACTGTTGACCTCTCATTCTCAATGCCCACAATTCTCTATCTGAATTGGACCCTTTCCTCGGTAGGATCCCTGGGTATTTCTTTCAGGAACTTTGATTTCTAGGTTCTTAGAAAGTTCCCCCAATAACATCTTTGAAATAAAATAAGCTGTCCACACCACTGTCCAAGTTCTACTGGCTGGCCCCCAAAGCTCTCTTTATGTCATCCTATCCCTTGCCATAAAACATTTTGTTCTAGAATACAACAACTGGCAATCTCTAAGAGAATTTAACCCAGGAATCTGGGTTACAGAACAAAACATGCCTTTCTACCACTAAGCTGTCTTCCCCCTTAGCTTTCCTTGATCATTCTCCTTCTCCTGAACAGTAAGTACTTTGTACCCAATTACTGCACATTGCTTTATGTTATGGTGATTCATGCAGAAGTCTGATCTCCACTATTAGACTATAACACACCTTAAAGTCAGGGGCCATGACTTACATAGATTTTGTGTGTCTCACAGAGCCTAGCACAGTGCCTTGCACATACAAAGTGCTCAATAAGCATTTGTCAAACGAACAAAAGAATTCAAAGTGTAATGACAGAAGATTGTAGGAAGTATTCATTTGCAAAATCTAGGTGTATAGTTCCTGAAAAGATTTATAAACCAACCTCATAAGTAGAAATGAGAAGCAAGAGAGCACATCAAAAGTGTCAATTAAGAAGATTTTATTATCATTCATAAGAGGCCATAAACTACAACCTCATCAAAACACACAGCATATAATCTGTTCCTATGGCTTCTTTACTGCCCAGTTATTGTAATTAATGTGCCAATGCAACAACCCATAGCTATCTTGTGATAAAACACCAACTTACATTAGACATTGTAATTTAGAAGAGAAAGAATCAATGGAAATTTATATAGTGATCTACATTATGTATGTACATATATAAAACAGTACAGGTGAGCAGTCATTCTAACCTTTCAAATAGTAGGTTTTTCTTTATCCTTTTCAATCTGCAGTTGATATTTACGCACACAATTAACTATGCCAATTTTTGCTTCCCCTATATGTTGTTGAAATGTTCTCATAATGTCATCCAATGGGAAGACAGATGAGAATAATGTTCCTCAGGAGTAAGTTCTGGGTTACGAATTAATTTGTACAGCTGTTAAAAATCAATTTCAAATAATACTTGGACCCAGAAAACATTACACTAACCCAGTAACGCTACATATGCACACAAGACCAAAGAGAGTAAATTTAAAACAAAAAATGTTTTCTAATGAAAACAATTGTTTAGCATCATGTAAAAAAAAAAACATGAAGTGACTGAATATGACATCTTCTAATTAACTATGTCATGGAGCAGAAACAAGTAATAACTGATAGCTGGCTGGTGTGCTCCATAGGTTTCCTTGTATTGTCAAGAGAACTTGTAGAAGACTCCCCCCAACACCCACCCAGCCAGTTAGGTGGATCCCCTGTGATGACCTTCTGGGAGGACACAGACAAGAGTTCCCGGGATGGTCAGGAGTGCATGCACTATGGTCTCAGCTTCACTGGAGAGAAAAATCACACCAATGAGGCTGCAGATTCAGGAGTGCACTGTAGTATGTTGGCATCCTCTAAACTCCCCCCTTTCCAGCTGCCACGTCACTGCAAACCAAGAGACAAGGCAGCCTAATAGTGGAAACAATGCTGGCTAGAGAATCAGAAGATCCAGGTCCAAGTCATAGATCCATCCCACAGCAGCTGCCTAACTAACGATGGGCAAAGCACTTCACCTTTCTCGGTCAGATTTTGAAAGGGGAGGGCAGGGACACTCAGAGGGAGACCACAAGAGGGGAGAGAACCAGGGAGCAAGTGTTTGACAGCCCTGACCAGGGGTCCGCCATTCCCGGCCCACTTCAGCCAAAGGAACCTCATGCTACATCACTGGAGGAATTGTGCCCAACAGGAGAAAATCCCCAGAGCTTCTACATACCCAGGAGATGGCACATGTATTTAAGTACACATAGAATTATCTAAGTAAAAAATGGCAGCCTGAACCAGGAGAACTCTGTACACAGTAACAGCTGCACTGTGTGATGACTAACTTTGATAGACTTGGCTCTTCACTGCAATGCAAGGATCTAAGACAGCTCCAAAAGTCCCATGATAGAAAACACTATCCACATCCAGAGAAAAAACTATGGAGTCTAAATGTAGATTGAAGCACATTATTTGCTTTCTTTTTTGTTGCTGTTATTTTGTTCTGTTTCTTCTTTCTCGTGGTTCCTCCCATTGGTTCTAATTCTTCTTTACAACATGACTAATGTGAAAATATGTTTAATGTGATGTACATGTATAATCTATATAAGACTGAACGTCGTCTTGGGGAGGGGGGAGAGGAGGAAAGGGGGGAAAATTTAAAACTGAAAATCTTATGGAAGTGAATAATGAAAACTAAAAATAAATAAATTAATTTTAAAAAAGAAAAAAAGTGGTAGCCTGGTAGTATGGCACCTGCTATCATCCTCAATTCTGAGAGATGAGACAAAAAAAAAAAAAGAAAAAAGAAAAAAGGAAAAGAAATCTCTATTGCGATCCAATGAAAAGCCAAATACCAAGAAGATTTTTGGCTTCTGAATCTTCCTAGTCTAACTTTTCTCCCAGGAGGCAGCAGTGTATAATGGACATCACTGTATAGTGAGATCTGGGTTGACAGTCAGTACTGCTACATCATCATCATAGCTTACATTTATATGATACTTTACAGCTTACCAAAAAATGTTAGATTATCTCCTTTGATCATCAAAAGAACCATGTGAAGTTCACTACTATAGAGTTGTTATTTCCATTTTGCAAATGAGGAAACTAAGGCTCAGAGATTATAATATAGTTGGTGAGTATAAGAGGTAGAACTAAAACTCAGACTCTCTTTTCTTTTTTTTT